AACAGCTATGTACATAATACACCATTGTAAATGCAACAATTCCAATATTTTTTTTTTTGTGGGGCTCAACCAATAATCTACGAAGTGCTGCCTTCACTAGGTCGTACATCAAGTGCTCGACTAATGCAAAAAGATGTTCAAATATAATATGATATATTATTTATATTATTTAAACAGTTTCAAAAGGATCAATTCTAAGTATATCCTGCCATTGCAATTTGCGTACTTTTAAAAAATCGATACAACTATTCGGTATTCATGGAAACGGATCAGAAATCGATAAAGAATATCATATTAACGTAAATCTCAAATAAATATATGATCACGAGAAAAATGTTGCGTTTCTTAGTCTCTATCTGAAAAGAAACGCGAAACAAGTGACTCGCAAAAATAGTCCTATTTGCCTTAGACTTAGAAAGGGGAAATAACGGAAAACAGTTGCACGTAATAACAACAATGTTAATGTTGCTGCAGCTGCTTTCCTGGGGCCGCTAAAGGAGAGAGCTCGTGTTGGTACTCCTGGCAATGTGATTACTGAAACTGGCCCGAGCAGGGCTATCAATGTGAGCAGTAACAAACAATTTACGAGTACGCCACAAAATTAGGGAATTTTAAAACGCTAAAATGGACTAACTCTTTGTGTTGACGGTGAACTTTTGTGTAGATTAAATAAAATGATTAAAAGAATATAAAAGTATTATTACATGGCATTTGGTAAAAACTGTAATTAAGCTAATGCAATGCTAAACATCTACAGGTCATTAAGTAATTAAATAAAAATTATAATATTCATGACCGTAAATGTGTGCGTATTTTACAAAATAAAAACACAACTGAATTGTACTTTCACCTGCGAGAGATGTAGGCCTATTCATGACATTTTGAATCATATGTAGAATTCCAGCCCTAAAATTTAACCTGCTTAATATGTATTAATTCTATAGAAAAACAAGATATCCTAAACATTACAACGGCCATTTCTAAACATTTTTATGGAAATCCTCAGACTTCCGCCAGAACTTAATTTTAATTTAACTGCTGGTTTAATTATTCATAAAGCATGCACCAACGAGGAGGGTAATATTTAAAATTAAAATTTCAAAAGATTTACTAGATTACAGCCCATTACTGTTGTTGTTATGGTTTATCACTATCACCCGATCATAAACCAAGGATGTTTCCTAAATTTTTGGCCTCCTACTGTCACACGTCTCTTCTATTCATAGACGTTCCATAGATTTTCTATCTTCTCTAATCACAGATGCTTCCAAGAGCGTTGGGCTCCTCTAGCAAAAGGCAGTTCTCAAATCTCTTACCTTCTCTGCTTTCAGATGTTTCGTAAATCTTAGATCTCCTCAAATCAGAGAAAATTTATAAATATTTCGTCTCCAGTAATGCAAGATGTTTTGTTAATCCTCCTGAGATATGAAGTAGAACTCCTTTTAATTGGCTGCCTGTCAGCCCAACGTAAGGCTCTGTTTTACGGGGCAACAAATAAAAAAGCGAACAAATAACCTAACTGTATTCGAAGTTATGATTTCACTTTATATGCAATCCAAGACGATGACTCCTTAGAGAGAGTGGTACTAAGAACAGACTTAGAGCAGTACTAAGCGCAAGCGAGTAATGAGAAATGTTCTCTAAACCTTACTGAAACTGGAAGTAGAGATCCTATTATTAAGGTGTCCATTCTTCGGTTCACAGGGGAAACATAAGAACGCGGACAAATAACGGGTTCCGAAGCCATGATTTTAGTGTGCAGCAGTCTAGGTGATTACTCCAGAGATGGAACAGAATAAATAAGTACGTTTTCGTGAGATGTACATAGTAATCGTATTAATGTTATTGGGAACCGGGATAGCACAGTCTGCATAGCGGATGGTTACAGACTGGACGACGTAAGTGTCGGTGTTTAAATCCCGGTAAGGTCAAAAATTTCATCTCCACATCGTTCAGGCTGGCTCTGGGGTTCACCCAATATCCTATCCAATGGGTATCGGGTGCTCTTTCGCCGGGGGTAAAGCGGCCGAGTCGTGAAGCTGACCACTCACCTCCAACTAGTGCCGAAGTCAAGAAAATGTGGATTTATATATCCGCTCTGCCGATCACAGTGGCCGCGCGGTCTAAGGCTCACCGGAACACTGAGATCATGGGTTCGAATCCCACTCGAGGCATGGAGGTCTGTGTGTGTTTATTCTGTGTGTATGTAGCGGCCTTGCGACGGATTAATCTCTCTTCCAAAAAGTCTTACCGACTGTGTATGGAATTAAGAAACGGAAAACAAGCAGGTCCAACAAGAGGACTGTAGAGCCAGAGATAGTTATATTCACTCTCCCATAAGTCTTCATGGCGTAGTGTTTAATTAGATAAGCACAGGGATAAATTTACTTTGCTTATTATTATTATTATTATTATTATTTGAATGTTGAGTTAGCACATAAACAAGTAATGTGTATGTACACGTATGGTCCTTTCTCTCTACATAAGAACATAACCACTGGAAATGTCTGTCTTACTTTTCTCACCTATTAAAGTATCTTTAATTTTTAATGTAATAATTATTAATTTATTACTACTATACAGACTGTTTAATTTTGTATTTTGTTTGTAAGTTATTTTTGTGTCCTACGTACTCGCGCTAACTTTGTAATTGGCCTCTGATTTGTTGTTTGCAGGTATATAAAAATTAATTTNGATGTGAACACGCTAATGAAGCTTCGGGTTTTATAAAATGCTGGGAAATTCTTGAGTAGCTGCAGAATTGGCGGCTCCTCCAGAAGGGCTTAGCTCCATGAGTAAGTAAATTATTATTATTATTATTTCTATACTTTACATTTCTCAGTTCACAATAACAACTTAGATTTGTGTTAAAGAAATTATTATTACTTTGTTTGTTTGTTTGTTTACTTCTCTGCATTAATGTGTTTTCTTCAGTGTTTGCCTGTAATTTGTCTTTGACTTTATGTTGTGTTTGCCCTCAATGCATTTACCTGTATCTACATTCTAGTGTCTATAAGTGGCCTTTTTGCTGTTGACTCGGCACATAAAAAAATGAATTGAAATGAATTATCATATTGCAGATACTGATGATGTCGTTGTCGTTGTTACTGTTGTTGTTGTTGCTGTTTTTGTCCCTACAAACAGCATGAGCAGCTGAAGGGCATCTAGAAGAACTGTGCTTCCGCTAGATACATGCTTCAGCTGCTGTTGCTGTTTTTGTTCCTACAAACAACATGAGCAGCTGAAGCGCATCTAGAAGAACTGTGCTTCCGCTAGATACATGCTTCAGCTGCTGTTGCTGTTTTTGTTCCTACAAACAACATGAGCAGCTGAAGCGCATCTAGAAGAACTGAGCTTCCGCTAGATACATGCTTCATCTGCTGTTGTTGCTGTTTTTGTCCCTACAAACAGCAGCTGAAGGCATCTAGAAGAACTGTGCTTCCGCTAGATACATGCTTCAGCTGTCGTTGCTGTTTCTGTCCCTACAAACAGCAGCTGAAGGGCATCTAGAAGAACTGTGCTTCCGCTAGATACATGCTTCAGCTGTCGTTGCTGTTTCTGTCCCTACAAACAGCAGCTGAAGGGCATCTAGAAGAACTGTGCTTCCGCTAGATACATGCTTCAGCTGCTGATAATGTTTCTGTCCCTACAAACAACATGAGCAGCTGAGGGGCATTTAGAAGAACTGAGCTTCCGCTAGATACATGCTTCATCTGCTGTTGCTGTTTTTGTTCTTACAAACAACATGAGCAGCTGAAGCGCATCTAGAAGAACTCTGCTTCCGCTAGATACATGCTTCAGCTGCTGTTGCTGTTTTTGGCTCTACAAACAGCAGCTGAAGCGCATTTAGAAGAACTGTGCTTCCGCTAGATATATGTTTCAGCTGCTGTTGCTGTTTGTAGTTGTATTGACGTGTTTGGAACCAAAACTGTTTCTCTTGCTCAAATTTTACAAACAAGAGAAATGTGTGTATATACGTGTATATATATATATATAGCATGTAGTCCCGTTGTTAAGTACTAACTATGTCAACAACGACTTTTGCTAGGCAAGAGATTCCTAACAAGTATCAATGGACTAACTGGGAAGCGATGTTCTCTTCGTGGTCCGTGCGACAGCTGTGTGATGCAGCGATAAAAGAACTGTTGGAAGTGGTGCAGTGCAATGCAGTGAAGTGGAGTGGAGCGAGGTGGTTGGTGAGTGAGTTAGCGGCCTGCTGAGCTTCAGTACTTGTGAGCTGTTGCTGTTAGAAACTGGTAGCTGAGGCAAGAGGGTAGTACGGGAACCCAGAGTAAGGGAAAAGTGAGAAAGCCGTTACCGGACGATTGGTGAAGACACAGCAGACTGAGAAAACTTAGTGCGTGCTGTAGGGAACTGCAGAGTGTGAGTTCGCGAAAGCGCTATAGTTACTTGTGGTTACGAACTGTAAGTGGTCAATAAGTCTAATTACCAATACAAACTCCGTTTGTAGTCACGCAATCACGTGACAATATATATATATATATGTGTGTGTGTGTGTGTGTGTGTATTTTTCTCTTTGTCGTCGAATGACTGGGGTGACTGTATTTGTCGAATTTTTATTATTGTCTTGCCTTTTTCTGTCTTTCATTCTTGCGTTTGTTTTCTTTCCTTCTGTACTCGTTGTTACTTTATAATTGGCTTTTGGTCTGTTGAGTACGCATGTAAATAAATAAAATGTATTGTTATTAAATGTGTTTCCAGAGAGAATAATGAAGAAATATTGGACAACTGGTTCTTGCTAGTTTGAGGAAAGGCTTGTAATCTCTGAAGTTCTGCAATTCTATGTAAGCGTCTATCCTTGTCTTGATGCTATTCCTGGCAACTCACTGCAATGATTCATTCTTTATGGTCTTGGCTTTACGCCTCGATAGTCTAACGGGGCTATTTTGAGACAGTAACATTAGTTTGCTAGTGCGAAGTATTTATTAAGTGGCGAGGGATAACGTCCATGCAGAGTATATTTTGTCTCCCAGTCTTACCTGGACACACAGTGGTGCAATCTGTCTTCTGGACTGGTGATCCCTGGCAGGCAAGACCTCCATTCAGAGGAGCTGGGTTCGTACACAGGCGACTCCTCTTTTGGACACCTCTGCCACACCTCGTGTTACAGTCTGACCACTGTGACCATGGTGACCAACCTCCATTTACTGCGCAAAGAAAGCATAATAAAAATAACTTTACAACTACGTACCAATTAGCTGACACTGTTGGAGAAGTACATATATTTATCTTATATATTTCTTCGGATAAATGAATTGATGAGACAGGTATAAGTTATGGAAAATACACTAAAAGTAGCATCGGATTACCAAATTTTGATCAGTAAACTCACATGAAGCCGGTCACGGTAGCCGAGCGGTCGAAGGCATGCACTGTCTTCGCTCGCTCGGAAGCCGGGATCATGGGTTCGAATCCCATTCAGAGCATGGATGTCTCTGTGCGTTTTTCTGTGTTTGTGTACAGGTAGAGGCTTTGCAACGAGCTGATCATCCGCCCAAGGAGTCCTACCGTATGTCCAAGATCTAGTAAACCGAAGTCAAACGGAGAGTTTCATGGAGGTAGGCCTAGGCCCAAAAGAGGGCTGTAGCGCCAATGAAAAATAAACACTCACAAGAAACTCTGAGTGCAGTCACTCTAAAATAAACGCTATCTTAGGGAAACAGTCATGACGACGTGGACTGAACTGAAATGATTCAGAACAGGAAACAGATGTGGAATTTATGCTCTCATTATTGCAGATTTTGATGCCCGTGTCTGGATTGTTGCTCCTATTATTATTATTATTATTATTATTATTATTATTATTCAAATGATAAAATTGGCTTGTTTTGTGTTCTGTTTCTTTTCTTTACTCGTGCTCACTTATTGGCCGCACGTAATTCTGCACGTAATTAGTAAATAAGAATTGAATTGAATAATTCAAATTGTACAAATTGCTTTGTTTGTTGCATTTTTATGTGGTTTTTGCTTGTTTTCATTACTCGTGCTGACTTTGTAACTTGCTTTTGGGCTGTTAAGTTAGAACGTAAGTAAGAATTGAATGGAATTAAATTATCAACTATTTATTATTATTATTACTATTATATAGCTATCAACTCTATGGGAAAGAGTCATTCCTGAGACCCTGACAGTAGATTATCTCTTCATCAAGCTCCCCTTTCCCTATGGAACCTCAAGACTCAGTGCACTGTTTCCAACATCCGAACATCCAGTTACTGTGTCCTGTCCCATTCAGGTGAAGCCGATCCATGTCCTCACGCCCTTTGGTTACAACATTGCAGCCTCTTTCACCCGTTGCTTAGGTCCTGCCAACGAATCCAAGTCCGAGGCCTTCTAAGATAATTTGTAACATGACAGCCTATTTCCCGGTGAGGGTTGGCCCAGCGTCCAATAACCAATTTGGAAGACCATACCTTGTCGCCTGTTCAACGAAAGATTATTCAACATATTCGTAACTACCGTCCACAGTTTCAGACTGTCTTCTCCAACCGGCGACTGAATATATGCCATATATCGCTAAGCTACGGGCTGGATGACCGGTTAATCGATGTTCTATTCCCGGCAAAGGCAGAGATTTTTCTTCTCGCCATGCGTCCAGATTATCCCCGAGGCCCACCAGGCTTCTATCCAATGAGTACAGGGGGACAAACTGACCGGGTGTAAAGCTGACCACTCAAATCAAATTCCGAGGTTAAGAATGCGTGGAGCTATACCTCCACTTCGATAGCACAGTCAGTATAGCGTCTGGCTGCGCCCTGGAAGATCGAGGGGTTGGAGTTCCAGTCACGAGTGGGACAAGAATTTTCTCTTCTCCGTGTCGTGCAGACGGTTTTGGGACCCACCCAGCCTCCTATTCAATGGGTCATTCATCAGTAATCTGTCAGACGACAGGTCCACAGTCTCTTCCAAAACAGTTCCTCCACTTATTGCGATCTCAAGCTTTCTCCTTCAATTAAAATATCCTCTTCTGTCCCCAAGGTCACCCAGCATCTTCTTGCGTCTTCTTACTCGTCTTCTGTGCACTTGTATCCGCCCCTCCGGTTTGTTTTGTATCCATGGTATACATGGTATCTCTGTTTTTGGAAAGAGACTATCCAGAAAAAGTGATAATGTGGTGGTTTTTCCATTTGCTTTCCACATCGCAGTACAACAGCCGTTCAAACCACTCTGGTCACGCCTGTTGCTGTACGAACTTGAACCATCTCGAGCATCATTTGCTCTGTGCTTCAAGTCGCTGCTGATGACGCTGCTTCCGGCATCAGTTTTTGGTTTTTGGTGTCCCTCTTCGTCTGATGCCTACCCTTTGACCTGTCCAGCAAGGGAGGCCCTGCCAGTAGCTATGCTACCGCTGGTATAGCTCTCAGGGTCCTTGGCATACTCAAACCGCCTCACCACGATAAGGTGGAGACACCAACGAGGGGGTTCAATGGGTACCTAGGGATATTTCCGCGGGGGTAAAGTGGTAGGGGCGTGAAGGTGACCACTCACCTCCTACTAGAGCCGAGGTCAAGAAAACAGATTTATACATTCATTCCCCTCATACGTTCTCATGGTGCGGTGTTTATGGACGAAAACATTATTATTGTTATTGACCTAATCCTCCCTCTTTGATTCATCAATACGACGATTGAAACAGAAGACTTCGACAAGCCGCTACTAACATCTGAGTCATGACTGATGTAGAAATGTTACTTCGGTTCTAATGTGAAATGTAGCCTGCAGCTGGAGATGATTTTAAAAGTAAAGGTGCAATCACACTCGTCTGAATTTCTCCAGTTTACACAACTGCGCGAATTTGAGACGTAGCACGTAAGCCGACAGCTCAATAACGAAACACGTCTCATGAAATTCCCCGTGAGACCGAAACATCATGTGGCACTGTGCCTCCATCGGTGCAGTTCATTTCATGATCTGAGACATCTGCAACGCAGGACCGAAAACAGCTCTGACGGTGTTGGTGGTTATACACTAATCTCTGTTTCACGGACACCAGCTGCGCGCGCATGCCAACTGTAGTTAACACACAGAATCTTTGATTAGGCACAAATATTATGTTTTTGGACATTATCCATCGCCTTGTATTTATCTAAAAACCGTCTTGTTTATTTTTCAAAACAAAACGTTTCGGAGACTTGATTCTGTCTCCGTCTTCATCTAGAACCTACCCAGTTGAACCCAACCCGAAGACGGAGACAGAATCCATTCTCCGAAATGTTATTTTGAGAAATACAGAGGACGGTTTTTAGATAAAGACAAGACGATGGATAATGTACTTCTTTTGGCTTATTTTGGACTTCACCCATCGTCTGGTATGTAAAAGACAAAAAGAAAAAAAAAACACGACGTTTCGGAGACTGGATCTGTCTCCGTCTTCAGGTGGATAAGGAAGGATAAACCTACTCAGTTGGGCCCCTTAGAAAGAGCTAGTCTCAATCACTGGACCCTAAGAGGCCCAACTGAGTAGGTTTATCCTTCCCTATCCACCTGAAGACGGAGACAGATCCAGTCTCCGAAACGTCGTAGTTTTTTGTCTTTTTGTCTTTTACATACCAGACGATGGGTGAAGTCCAAAATAAGCCAAAAGAAGTACAGTATACACCACAGTCAGAATCCTTTCAAGACGATGGATAATGTCCAGAATCATAATATTTGTACCAATGCACCATCGTCACAAACTTCTACACCCTATTTGCTTTGATTGCGTGCTTTAGGCGATCAGTACAACGTCTAGCGCACAGCAGAAAGCACATACCGTGTTGTGGTAAGCAGAACTGAAAGCATTATTTGAATTTAACCTGAATTTAGACGTGAGTATGGCGTTAACCACTTGATGACAAGGGTACAAGAGATGGAGCGAGAAATTTAAAGAGACTGGTGTACACGGCGAGAACGGGGAAGAAAGGAAAAAAAGAAGAACGCTTTCCGATACAAGGAGAGAGAGCCGGATGTGACTTGCCAGGCTTTACAGACGTAATTCGGTGGTCAGTTAATTAAGGGTCTCCATGAACTGCAGGGGGGCACGCGGTAGCGTAACTGGTTGAGCACTATGCTACAACCCGAAATGTCGCGGGTTCAAGTCCCGATAAGCCCACTGGATTTTTCAATTTACCTAATCCTTCCAACCACATTACGTGTATATTCACGGGGTCGACTCGGCCTCTTAACAGAAATGAGTACAAAGGACCAACCGTGGGATAAAAGGTGGCCGGCACGTAAGGCTGACAATCTCACCGCCATCTGGGAGCCGACTGTCTAGAAAATGTGGAAGCCTCGAAATACTGAGAAATATTGACAATTTCACTAATATTAACATAGTACCAGCTTACGCATCAAATAGACGTAACTAATGAAGACCAAATAATGAAATAAACACGTACATACAAAGTACCTCAGTGTTAACAAGTGTACAGTAATCACATTGTAAATTGTCAATAAAATTACAGTTATAATACTAAATTTTTGCGTAGAAATAGGGTGATGAACACAGTAACAGCTACTGTTTTCTAGACTGCAACTGTTTGGATGTCGAGTATTAGGGGCCATTTCTTGCACATGGCAGGCATCACGATAAATAAATCCAAGTTCAACTGTCAGTGTAACCTTGGGGAAGTGTTTCAGAATTGTCGCAAACACTAAACAGATAATAGATCTCAAGACCCTCCGCACTGATGCGTGACAGGGGGCTGGAAGGAAGATCTTCACGTCTCTAGCATTTGCCCGGTATTTGTCACTGACAAGTTCCCTCCCCCGTCCGCGAAATGCAACATACACCAGCCCTAGTGGACGCGTCCCAATACTTGGCTAAAAGCATTCCTCTCCTACATGACACAACACAGCATTATCTTCTTCTGAAGTTTCGTGTACTTCAAGATCTAACTATAACATCTGCATAAAGCAACTTACAAGGGTTGGACAAAATAATGGAAACACTACAGATACTGTACACATTTCTTCATTAATATGATGATGCAGTAACTTCTGCCTTCAATACAGCAGAAGTCCTCCTTGGAATGGACTCGTACGAGTTTTGAACAGCCTCTAGCAGAACTGTATACCATTCTTCTTGAAGAACATCTTCAGGTTCCTTTAGTGATATTGGAGGTGGGAATCTGTTCCTCACTCTAGGCCCCAAAACTGTCCAGAGTGG